TGACATAACACCTGTCAGCTAGCCATGGCTTGTTCCGTGTTGAACGCTGGGAATTATCAGGCATTAGGTAAGTGTTCAGCAGAGGTTACGAGGGCTAGCTGGACCGTTCAAAGTGCTTCACTTTCACTTTTTAACTGCCTGAAGTTTGCAGTTATGATGCTCTTGAATCCGCACAAAGAACAGCTCCACTGTGCGGGTCGCTTCAACTGTTAGTTGGGACATTATACCCCATGGTGTCATCGTGACATCCATGCCAGCTCGAGTTGCTTTCAAATGTTTTCCAGGGAAGTGGCTGTGTTCGAAAGCTTTCTCCGTGCAATTTGTTTTTTTTCCCCCACTGGCGTGAAACATGCCCCTGACCCAACCTTTGCAGAAACAAAATAAAAGATTGGGCAGAAAAATATCACCCCCCCCCCCGCCTTTTTCTCGCCTGCACGGCAGAGCCCCCGTTAAGCCGCGGTGTGAGTGTCTGTCACTAGACGGCACGACCAGCGCTGGCACGCCTTTACCTCGAAGCAGGGGGCGGGGGGCAAAAGAGCCACGTTATAATGCGACACTGAGCCTCTTTCCTGTCACTTGGGGTTGCTGGACCCATTTACGAATCTCAACGGGGTCGGCTGTCAGCGGGCACACACGCACAAAGACGAGCCTTGTTCGGGCAGCACAGTAGACTCGGGAGGTAAAAGCCCTTCGCCCAATCGATCAAAGGCTGGCTCTCTCTCCTGGGTTTCGGGACGAGACACTGGGACCCCTCTGTGCTGGGTGGAAAGGTCACCACTCGGAGACACAGCGAGGGTGTTGGCAGTCCCACGATTGCAAAAGTTAAGCGTCGCCTAAAGGTCACGCAATTTCATAATGATTCGAAGGAACACGAATTAATGTGTTGCGTGTCAAAACAAATATTTCCTTATGCTGAATATCTAACTGTTCGATATGTATTGAGGGTTTTTTTCCCACCTCCCCCTGCCCCCAATGTATTATAGTTCTGCGGTGTCATGTCTCAAGGCAGAGAATCTATTCCGAAATCTCACCGATAGGATCACCTCGCATGTCAGAAAACTGCCCAGGGAAGACGATTTTTCTCAGGACTTTTTATATTTTACACAGCAGGTGTCGCAGTTATCCAACAAACTTTGCTACGAGATCGATTGTCTCATGAGATTCAAACCATTATTATTATTCATTGTCACAGCTGGAATTGTCGCCATACCAAGTGCAAACCAGGTTTATTATGACGTTCCATTCTGTTGTTGGAGATTGGGTTGAGACCATAAATTCATTACGCTTGAGACCTGGCTTAATCACATGCAGCTGCCTGGATTTGAACCCAGGTTCACAGCAGTGCCAACTCAGCACTTTGACCTCCGAAACACCGAATTTTGTATAGAGAGATTTGTATATCTATATAAATAAATACCTTAATCTGTATGTATATATGTCTCCAAAACCTATGGGGTACAAGGTAGAAAGCTGAAATTTGGTACATACGTAGCTTTTAGGACACAAACAACAGGAAAAAAAAATCCGAGAATTTTCATTTTAAGGCCCCCAAATATTGATTTTAAGTGGCCATAAATATGTTTGAGCGTGGTGTCATTCAGAAACCGTTAAAGATATAAGAATGAGTTTGATAGAGCGTAAACAGCAAATAACATTAAAGTACGAACCATTGTTATATCTTTCATTGTTTTTGAGATATTTCAGATTAAAGCGGTTTTGAATGGAAAAAACTGATTTTATGATGTTCAAATCTGAATAATTAGAAAACGGTAAAAGATAGGAGCTTCCTCACAGAGTATTAAGTTCATTATTTTTGTTCTTTCAAATTCAAAAGAACCGAATATTTCAATTGAGCGGTTTCCGATGGGGTACGTCTTTAAATATAACAAGTTCAATGAAGTCAACAATTTTAGTTTTTTTGTGTGAAAATTTTTTTTTCTTGTAGTTCTTCGTGTCCGAACGTAGATAAAAATTGTAAAAAATCATGTCAGGTTAATTATTAAATGATTGAAAACTTTTGCCTTGCGAAGAGAAGCTTGATGAACTCGTAAATATATGTTTGTTGTGCATATTCTGCATTGATATTTTGAAACTATTGCCGTATTTATAAAAAAAAATGCATTGATCTGTGCATATATAGCCAGGCAATGCGGTGCTTCAGGAAATCAACTGACAATTGTATTGTGCTGATTAGAATGTCGAGTCAATATTTGACTCACTCCATAATAGGTTCACGGTCATTTAAATGAGTACCCACTGCTTTGTTGAAAGCAAACGGTAGCTGTCCTCCGGAGAGACTGGCCCCCGCCACAATAACGTGGAGCTTCCACCAATGCTCAGGGTCACAAATGCGTCGTGGGTGCCACTCAATATTTGTTTAAGCGGTGAGGCAATTTGACGTGTTGATTCTATACCGTAGTATACGCACGTGTGTCTCAGGATCTTGTTCTGCACGTGTCGATTCCTCTGGGTGTGTGGTGCTATGTATTATTGTCTGTTTATATATCCCAACATCTGAATTATTTGTGCACTTGGGATTCGATGTGCATTACATTACTGTATATCCATTTGGACTATCTATCCACATGCCCATCCACCATGTAATTTTATTTAGAGGAGCCGATGAACATCTTGCCGGTGAACAGCCGTGACAGGGTGTTAACGGCATGAATGATCAGCCTTATAAGCGCACTGGTAATTGGCCTCTCGATAAGCTACTCCTGACTGCGATGCTGCCTAGCAACCGTTGCTATGTCTGTCAAATCTGTCAGGGCCACCAAACCGCAGTGATAAGTCAAAGGCTTTTTCCTAATGGTAATGTCCCAAAAAAACATGGGAAAATTAAATGTTTTTGTCCGTAATAGGTATTTTTTTCCCTTCCCTCTGCAAAGTACGCATTACATTAACAGCCCGGCATTTAACATCGGATTAGAATAAGCATCCCATTACCTTAAATTGATGAGCATTGCCATGAACAAGCATGGCATCCGGTTTTATCCTACTGCCTTGCACCGTGTCCCATAGGGGTGAAAGTGAATCCCAGGGCACAGTGATTTCCAGGTCTCGTTACCCACCTGGTTGGTGTTTCAAGGCTGTTGTATTCAAACTCGCGAATTCCAGGCCACAGCTAACATCAGTGGGAATGTCGAATCTGAGCCAGTCCAGCCCACCACCCTCCTCACCAACCTTCACCAACCCACATTGACAATGAATGGTGAAGTATGGTCAAACAGCTCCCATGGCCAACACTGTGGATGCGGCCTTTATCCAGCAATGGATTGAGAAAGAGAGGTAAATTACTATTCATTATTGTGCACTTATGATTGTTTAACATACTGTGCAACCTTAACTAACAATTGGTGAACTTCTCTCACGAATATTGCCAGGTGGCACTGCGGTTAGATTACTCTGAAGTTTGCACATTGATTGGCTCATCATCCCTGCTGAGGTTGAGAACATAGCTCCCTTTGAAGGGGATGCGAGTATTTTTGCCACTTGCTCAGGGCTGCCAATGAAGATGAGCTCTGCCCCACTCTGTTTTTTTGAGAAGGAAGACTCTCTGCTTTTTGACCATTTGCCTCTGATGGAGTTGAATCAATTGTCAAAACTAGTAAACGGCCAACTTCCCCCACCGCCCCTCTTCTTGAATGCTGCTATATTAATGTGCTGGCTGGTGCCAGTGTGCCTTCGTGTTGCATACAATTACCGTCCCGGGAAAAACACCACGTTTAGTTGGGGCTCATTACAGCGGTTCGCTAGGCGTTGGGGGAATTGGGTGATCATCACAGTTTGTGCTCGCTTAATAATAACATTGACTCTGGCCTGCTTAATATTTGACAATGCCAACCTGCCTGTGCCATTGTAGCAGGAGAGATGCATCGGTCCAACTGTCGAGAAGCAAGGCAGAGTGTCTCATTATTCAAATTGGAAATTAAGAAACATTAATACCATGGATTAGTATGTCAAAATCCATCTAAAGAGGCTCTACATAGCTCCCTTTTAGCAGAGGCCCCTCTACCAGCAGTGGTGCAAACAAGCAATTGCAGGGTTGAAAACTGAATTTATATTGGCGGCCTGCAGACCTTGGTAAAATCACAGATTCCTATGAAAGCAATAGGACAGTCACTGTTGACCTTTCCCAAATGAGTACGTTTGTGACCAATAGGCTGAGGTGACCATGAATGGGATCTGAACTCCGCAACCTTCCGATTTGATCGTTGAGCACTCCAGCCACAAAGCCCCTCAGCTGGACAATGCGATCGTCACAAGTTCTGCAATATATTTTACTCTGACATACGGTACCTACTCCCATGTGTGAAATATCCAGCAATTTTATTAAAATAAATCTACTCTTGTGTTTGCATTATTAAAATAGACTTCGATTGAACGGTAGCTCTGTTAAAATGCGGTTCCCCGTTGGCCTTTGGGCCAGTGATGCAAGCAACTGTTAAGAAACTGCTGTTGTTTGAATGCAGGTACTGCACATATGTTGACCTTCTCTCACACTGTACATAGCCAACCGTGTTAATCGGAGGTGTACATGCAGAGGATGCCAGGAGTTTCATAGCAGGATGGGATGAGCAACTTTGCAGTTCAGAATAGAAAGTGTGGAAAACCACTGTCGGTGTTATCGGTAGAGGGTTGTTGCAAGAGGTGGAGCGCACGTACAGGCTGGATGGAGACAGGTTACCAAGACAGGCATTGATGCCGAGTGTTTGGTGACCAAGGAGGCGGCCTACAGTCAGAAGATGTTGCTGTTATCAGAACACATCTTGAAGGTTGGGTGCCAACGTTGGACACATGTGGGATTTGGCAAAATTACAGAAGTGATGGCAAGATGTGGCAGCATTGTTGGCCCTGGCTGTGATGTCCTCTTGGGAATGTGGAATTTCTACTCTGGGTTCAGGGACTTCAACTGAAACAAGTGCTGCCCAATTGTCTCTTTTTTTGTACTTTTTGCTGACGCGGCGCCCGCACTCGTTTGTTCCCCGCGCCAACAGCTCGTCGGCGGAGAGTTTGACCTGGAGATCAACTTCATCATCCAGGACGTGGAGGGCGTGGGCTGCATGGTGGAGCTGCTGGAGCACTGCGATGCCACGTGCCAGGCCGAGATCTGGAGCATGTTCACCGCCATCCTCCGGAAGAGCGTGCGCAACCTGCAGGCGTGCACCGAGGTGGGCCTCATCGAGCTGGTGCTGCGCCGACTCGCCTCCACCGACGACATGATCGCAGGTAGCGCCGCGCACGTCGCACCGCCTGCTGTGTCGCACCGCACCTCTGGTTAGCAACGGTTGGCTACGTATGATGCGAAAGAAGATTAGCATACGTACACCCGCGCACGGGCACGTCGAGCCGCCCCGCAGTGCAGCAGCCACTCTCCCTCAGGCCCTGTGATGACAGGCCCCATGCCGATTTTCCTTCCTCAATCAAGCTACGGTATTTTGCACGCTCTTCCGAGTTTAACTTACGATGTGCCTGTATATGCTAAAGCCCAATCCACTAATGCTGCCGTTGGATTTGCAATCCGGAGGTCACCTGTTTGACCTCCTGCCGTGGTAGTTGAATGGAATCCAACTGAGGTCATCGGGCTCGCAGTGCAGTATGCTAACCACAGAGCCACCATTCCACCCTCACGACAGTTAGTGCACCTTGTAGAATTTTTATGAAAGGCCCAGTGTTTTCTTTAAATAACGCAAACCAAGTGTTTAACTAATTCAAGCTTCGTTTCACAAAGCCTGCGTCTTTATTCAAATCAATGTTGCACCCTCACGGCCTTTACCAGCTCCTGCTTTCATCAGCTTCACAGACGCTTCAGATGCAGTGGCATTTTGCAACACCGCTTCAGAGAAGGCTGAGCCACGAACAAATCAATACTTCGATTGCAACCGCTTCAGGGCAATACAAACGTAGTTCCGTGCATGTTTATGGCGGGATATGCTGGAAAAGCGGATGCTCCTCCTGCCATAGCAATATGGAATTACCATCACTGGCTTGGGGGAGGTAGCCATTGTAGATGAGAAAGTGCCCCTACGGGCGAGGAGATGGCCGCACGGCGTGCGACGTCACGCGACATCGACTCGTGCAACTCTGACAGGAATGTTAATCATCAGCCATGATCGATCCACTGCTAAATGAAGGCCTCCCTGAGCCTCCTCCACACATCGCCCACGCCCCACCTCCACCCCCACATGGTCCCGTGATGTAACGTTTCATCCAGCAACTGCAAACGAGCAGATCTCATTGCTCTGTCTTCGCGGTAAATGTACGTGATCGCCAACACGCAGTGTAACTGAATAATTGCCTGCAAATTACTCAATTGGGATGGCACACTGCAGCAACATCGCCCCCTACTGAGAAAATTTGGAAGAGGCTTTCATGGGTAAACAATTGGAATGCAGTAATAATGATAATAAATAAGGCCTGTTTGTTCTTTGACTTGCATGTTTTATTTTATGTATTCATAATGGCACACAGACGAAAAAATTATAATAATAATAGTTTTTTTGTAATTGCCAGCCTGAAATAAGAATCACATTTATCTAAATCTGTGCACAGCAAGAGATGGGTGAGCAGACGTGAAAATAGTTGGGAGATACAGAGATGTTCATACCGTGGGGATAATTTTATACCCAGACCAAAAAATTCAACCTCCAATGAAACATTCTTATCTTGTAGACATGTTGAGATTTAATGTAGATAGTGGAATTTAGCTTATTCAATACTACATAGAAACTTGTATTAAAAAGGTGCAGGTGTTGCGAATCCTTTTTGAGTTTTGGGTGGTGCTCCTCTTTGTTGAATAACAGCAGAAAGCTCGCATTCTGTGGCGAGCACAGTTAATCTACAACCTGGATAATCTTCCCGTTATGTCTAAGTATGTTGAGCTTCTTTCGCAGCGTACGTAGCCAACCGTGCTAATCAGCGATGCAGGGGAAGGACAACAAACAAAACACAGTTCTAAAGAAATTAGTTTTCAATCTCGAGTTAAAATTGCATTGCTCCCGTGGCTTCCTAATATCGGAAGGAAGAGCATTCCAGACGTCTGCAGAAGCGGACTTGATAATTGAGAAGTAACAGAAATTGGAATGTATTTGCTCTCTAAAATATTACAAGCATCTGAAAATGCTATACAGAATAACAATATTAATGTAAACAGTAGATTTAGATAACGCGAATAGTAAAGCAAGCAAAAACCTAAAATCAAAACACTGTCCACGACAAAGTGGCAGTTGAAAGCTGCTTTTAAAAGTTAAATCCTGCCGATCATCCTCGCGAATCCCAGCTGGTGGCTAGACGACAGCGGGGCCTCTATTACGCAATAATGCCGGGCTCTCGGAGGCTAACGTTCACTCGACGTTGTGACTCTGCGCGGGGTCACGATGGATGGTGGATGCGATGGGACTCCAGGGTAGTGTGGTACTATGTCACTTTGAGGGCGTTATTATGGTGGGACTGAAAAGTCGCTTGTCTCTTTCCGACAAGTCCCGTTTTTCTCATTCACGACAATTCAACGTCAGTGGGATTCGAGTCGGTGTGCGCCTTTTTGCAAAATAAGTGCTTTTTTGTTTTGTTTTTCAGCTCCATTCTTTTCGAAGGGGCTTGAATGATTTTTTTGTTCATGTCACGACGATAATGTTTGGGAGTTTAATACGATGAGCCAGAAAATCGTTGCTCTGTCCTCCCTCCTATATTGTTTATTCTTTGGGATATGGAACTTAACTGCCTCTGGTGTCTTATGTCCCTTTCAGAGGGGCTGATTAGGTGTCATTGTAATAAATGGTAAAAGAGTGAGCTCTGTGGTGAGTCAAATGGTGCAGCTTTCATTGGAGGGACTCCACATTTTCTGAACAGATATTACAAGGCAGGGGCGGTTTCTTCATTAGGGTGATTGGGCGACGCACCACCAATGTCATTCAACCACAGAGTCACGCTAGCCGTCACTGTCAGCCTCTGGATATAGTCCAATCAGCGTCATGTCACGTTCTGTGGAGTACCGCCTCTTTTGGGGCGATTTCACTCCGGCTGAGAATCGCCCCGAGTGGCCCCATAGACTTACATTCAAAGATGTTTTTTTTCGAACGGGGGCGCTCCAATGCATTCTCTATGGCTTCCGGGAGGGCATGCACTAACGTGCTTACGTCATCATACGTGCTAACGTCATCATACGTAAGCACGTTTCATCCAACAATATAATTTATCGCTACCTAGTGGAATCTTTAATAAAATAAACTTGAGTGGTTTGTTTTAATAGTGAGTATATAAACAAACAAGATGTATTGTAAGAGTCACTTTATTTTTCATTAATATTAAAGATGTGAAGTTGCCTTTACATGCTTAAGCTGTTAATTTATTAATTGCATGGGTGGACCTTATCCTTATCAATCATCCAGACATTTGCCCCCCCTGAGAGATTTTGCAGGAGCCGCCACTGTTACAAGGTTATGTTGACCGTATTTCAACGTACAATGTGTACATATTGTATAGCATACTCAGTGCATGGTATACACCGTTTCCAGTATATTAAGGGTCCATTTATCACTCACTTAAACAACCATATTGTAGAGGAGTTTATATCGTTCAACATGGAGACTTTTGCGATCAAAATCATCCATAATATATCTTTTGGGTTAGATCGCATAAATAGAAATGTTGCGTTAAACCCGCCACCAACCGACACAGCCAACTAGTAAGGTTTGTCACGTAAATAGAACTAACCAGTTCGTTACTAGTACAGCACACCAGTGTGTTGGAGAGCCAATGTTGTGGATTTGATGTCCAACACACCAGTTGTGCTGCACTAGCAACGAATTGGCATGTTCTGTTTACGTGGCAAATCTTAATAATTGGCTGTGTTGGGTGGTGGCAGGTTTAACGACACATTTATATATATGCGATCTCACCCAAAATATATATTATTGAGGAGTTTACATAGATGGCGTGGTAGTTAGCACATTGTTTCTATGAACCTGTATGCATGAGTTTGATTCCTGACCATGGCTAACATCAGTGGCGAGTGGTATCTGAACTGGTCTTGGGCCACCGTTCATCAACCTGCAATGATCTGCGTGGTGACGTATGGTCTAAAGAAACCCCCACAACCTACACGGAGGTCTTCATCCAGCAGTGGAATGACAAAGGGCTGTAAATTATAATTGTTTATAATTTTTACAGTTTACAGTAAAATGGAGATCAGTTACTTCTGCCCAGTGGTATTTACAAAAACATAGCTTACTGTGTGATTTATTAAAACCCATTCGCAGAGTTTGTATCCAGGATAAAGGTACATTTTCCGTTGAGTGATGAAGTGAGAGCCACTTCATGACAAATAACCTGTGACGGTCCTTTGGATAAACTTGGCCCCATCATAAGACTAGAATATTTACTACTACTATCATCTGAACAATTTTTTTATATTTCCAGGAAAGGCCCACTGAGCTATGTAGTTCTTTTTCAGAAGCTACCTGGCCACAAATGATAGCTCAACGAAGTGGCATATCATCTGGAAATGTTTAATGCACCTTGATTCTAAATGTGGAGGGAAAAACCAGGAGGACTCATAGAAAAATCCACGCAACCGCGGGGAGAACATGAAACTCGAAATATACAGGTGTCAACGTCGGGATCGAACCCACAACCTCCTGCATACCAGGCGAGGTAGTTAACATCTCGCCAACGCGGTGCCCTACCCTAGTGGCATCCATCTAATAAAGATCTAATAAAGATGGATGCTACCTAGTGCTAGCTTCGGTGTGGGGGCACGGACTCTTTTTGAAAGAATTTTACATAAAAAATGCATAATCACTTCTGGATGGGACACCTTTACAAGGAAGAGCAGGGGCACTGGGGAAAAATGTGAACCCAGGGCCTTCTCTCTGGAAAAGTAATTTCGTTCATGCACCAGTCCCTCTCTCCTGACCTAGGATTTGAGACGGCATATTCAAGGTGAAGTCCTGGTGGGAATGATCACATTTGAAATGCCACAAGCCCGCCAACCATTACCAACCCAGAGCATTACATATTAAAAACATTAATGAGATTGGGTCAAGCAGTCATCCAATGCTTTTTTTTTTTTCAAATAGCGATGATGATGGAGGAAATCTCTGAGCTGGATGTAATGCGTTAATACATCTCCTTGAGTACGGGCTGCGGCCCTCATCACTTTTACAATTGTGTCAAGCCAGTGTCTCCTTGATTAAATGCGCAAAAGCCAATGCTCATCTATGCTGTTGGTC